GTTGTTGTGAGTGATTTTTGGGATTTTTTTCTTCTTATTTTTGAAGTATTGTTTAAATGATTTCAATCTTAAAAATGGAAAGAATATCGTCGATGGAAAGAACGAAACAGTAATCAATGGATAGAAGCAATTCTTCTCGATGGAAAGAACAGAAACAGTAATCAATGGACAGAAGCAATTCTTAGTGGTGATATGTGGGATCCACTTGAACGGATTTGACTTTTTTGACCACGGTAGCATGACATGGCAAAAGTTGTTGTGCACGTCATCACTTTTTTAAATTTTGCCCTCCACATCATCAAAAAAAATATTAAAAATGCCACGGAAGCAGAGTTAACGGTACAATTTAACAGAAGGACTAACGGAGTGCATTTCATATAGTTGAGGGATCAAAAAAGTGCAAAAAATTCTCAAGGGACCAAAAATGTGCAAACCACTAAAGTTGAGGGACCAAAATGAGCATTTAACCTTTATTTTTTGATGGTAGGTTGGTGAGTGGGAAATAGGGGGATTTATTGCTTCCACATCTTATGTTTTTAGAGAGAAAACTAAACAAGTCATTCTAAAAAAGGGAAAACAGGTACCCATTATAGCAGCAAGGACAAATCGATTATCTAGACTCCAGACTATCATATTGACACCGCAAGGAATGGGAAGAACTCTTACACTATATTGTCTTGGCTAAGAAATTAAATTCATATTGACACCGCAAGTAGTAGAAACATAAATTGTAAAATAAGTTGCAGTGGGGATTTGGAATAATAAACTTCCGAGAAAGGAAAATTCTTACACTTAACATAAGCAAGCTAAGAGAATAAGAAACGTAAAAGGTTAAGATTAACAAAAATTTACATGAGATTTACGTGATCTAGAATAACAGAGAAACTCTAAATGCAATTCCTCCTTAACCTCTAAGATCACAAGAAACAACAAATTACACTAAAGGATCTTAAAACCCCAATTCGTAACCCAATCAATACATACACCATAAGCTCCTCAAAAAAGAAGCGTAAACTCGAAATTTGAAACTAAAATCGGAATTAGATTGAACAAACAAATTAAAATATAGCCTCAACTTATCAATACCTTGAAGAAACAACAGGTTTTGGAGGTTCGGTGTGCATTGAGAGTTTGCGGAATCGAAGTGAAAATGAGGATGGCAATGGGTTGCGCAATAATAAAAGAAAAATAAAGAAAAAATCGAGGAATTGAGCCGGAATTATCGAGGGCGTCGCCGGCCGGAGAAGAGGAATTTAGATTGGCAGGGGAGCTCTGCGAATTCTGTACTGGGTTTAGAGGCAGGAAAGACGGGGAAAAAGGAGTGGAGAAGAGGAAGAAAACGTATCACCCTTTCAACGCAGCGTTTTATATCTTTACGCTGACCCTTTGTCGCTTCTACTTTAAATACTTGTTAGACGACATGTAAGTAAGATATCAACTTTACAATTTTTTTTTAGTTAAAAATATTAATTTTATTAATTTTTTTTTTTTTGGTAAAATTTATTAATTTAATTTTGTACCATCTAACAGCTAGCTTGAGGAATTGAAAACAGCAATTTAAAAAAAATAGAAATATTCTCAGA